TATCTTTGAAAAAAAGTGACTCTTTTACTAACTTTGATGAGGCTAAATTCCATGTACAGTAGTTTTTTAAATATGAGGATTTGCGAATTGTACTATGTTATCATTCACTGAAGTGTATGTTAAGGTTTTTTTGTGCTCTGACTAATTTATCTTCTTTAATACGAATCTGTTCGAAGTAATCCTCAATTAAACGAATGAAATCATTATCATAATACAATACACATTTATTTACTGCAGTTCATGTTATTCCCCAGACTTTTCCGTAAAAAATTCTCTAATTAATAAATTTTTCATTTGTGGGTTCTTCTATATCATTATTTGCAAATAGTTGCAACCACACAAATCTACCTTTATTACTTTCAATAGAGTTATTAATATCAATAGCTGTATTTATATCACTGAATCTTTGATCTAAGCGTACGTGCTTCTTTGCTGTATCTATTCATTTATCCCTTGAAATCTACTAACTTGCAATTAATCATAAACTAAATCATGCCTTATTTGTGATATTCAAGAGATGGTAAAAATATCTACAAACTAGTCTCATTTTTTGTTGTAAAAGGCAGATGCAACTGTATAAACAGCCTGCAAGTAAAAATACAAAATGATTATTTCTATGGCTAGTAACTTTTGACACTTTCTACACCTTTTTAATTTCACTCTTGTTCAAACTTTCCAAAAGATATCTAGTGCATAAAGTAACATTATCAGGCACATCATCTATATCATTAGTTAGTGTAGACTCATTATCTGCAAGCTACCCGACTTCTTTGATTGAAGATTGATTGGAAGTGTAATGCAAACTTTTCTTCATTTGATCTACTAAAAAATATATAATATTTGGTCTCAAATAGTGCTTAATTAATGATTCAATTGTCAGAAAGATAGTGATAGTGCTTGCAGCAGAAGGAATACTACATTTCTATTTTTCAAATTGAATTCTCTTTTTTTCCTTTTCACTTCATTCCATTAAGACCTTATCTAGATCACAAAATGATGTGTTGCTATTTTTCAGCACCCATTTAATGCAAGCATTTTGGCCTTCAACAAACAATGTTGATTAAATACTGAGTATGAATGTCATCATAGTAAAAGCGTGTATTTAAGAAAATCAACGTTTATAAAACTGGCGTTTAAGGTATAGTTTTGCAGATGAAAAATTTAGAAGTTGATTTCAATAGAATTTGAAAGCCTGTGGTGTATCTAAATTTCAGAACTGCCAAAATTTATGGTAAAATTCATCAAACAAATTACCTAACTTATTATGAAGCATCTTCTTTATGTTTTCTTTGATATGCCAGATACAAAAAAGATGTTGTATTTCTGGATACTCTAACATTATTGCACGCTCTATTGCTGGATTACCATCAGTTACGATCTCATGAGGGTATCTATTGTTAGTTGCTTTTTTAGTCATTTGAAGTACCTATTGGTAAGTTTCTGCTAATTCATTACTAACAAATGCTTGAGCTATAATGCGTGAATTCATGTTGTCATCTTGAGCAACAAATAAAGAGAGAGGCATATAGTACCTATTGGTACCTGAAGTATTATCATGACCAACTACATCACTAAATTCATACCACAACAAAACTTGTTCTGAACTCATCCAGAACAAGTGACCAATATATTAGTCTCACCTTCTCATAGTACTTCAACAAACCAGAGAAAATCTTCATATTGCTTTAACAGTGGCCTGAATAGACCTGAGTGCTTATAGAGAATAGTCTGTTTTCTAATTGCTTTTTCATTCTCACCTGTATTTATCATTGTTATACATTCACGCCTAATCTTAAACCTCTCATATTTAAAAAACTACTGTACATGGAATTTAGCCTCATCAAAGTTAGTAAAAGAGTCACTTTTTTTCAAAGATA